AAGCACAGGAGTTTGTAGCTTCTGTTCCCACAGCCGATTCTTCCAGCAGAGATGCTTCTGGCCCTGTGTTCTCAGTTTCTGGAATCCCTGTCAGTCTTTAAGCTCTTCCATACCTTTGGGAGGGGTGGGGCTGTGGGTCCTTAGAGGGTCTTAGACACCCCAGACTCAGCGGTTCCCACTTAGTTTTGGAGGAAGGACAGACTATAAATAATCCCCAAATCTCATTTATGGCAGTGTTCCAATTTCTACTGCAAACTCTTCAAAAGAATAGTAGTTACTGAGTGGCTGCACCGCTTCATGCCACCCTCCATCTGTCTTGTCTATCTTTCCATCCGTCTATCCATCCATCCATTCACCCACCGTCCTCTATATCCCCCATGCCCCATTCTCTCTCTATCTGCCTCTGTCCATGCTCCATTCACCCTCCATCCATCATCCTGTGTTTGTTGAGCCCCTGCCCGTTGAGGGGGGATCAACTATGCTGGAAGGTGGCCCCAGTCCACACCCCAGAACTTTTCCCCTCCAGTTATACTACCAAGTACATGGTCTGCGGGATGAGCTCCCCCTCCTGGTCACTGCTCTCAAGAGAGATCAAGGCACTAAGTCAGATCAGTGCACTTTATGCATAGGTGGAGAGTATAATGCATGCAGACACTCACACGCTCACTCACTCACCACCCAGGTGCTCCTGCGCACCCTTGGGGCCAGCTGTTCTCCCAGCAGCCTCGAGGTGACAGGAACCCTTCCTCTCCTCGCCTGCCCTTTCCTTGGGAAGCAGTGAGGAGGGAGCAGGAGGGGAGAGCACCCCGCAGGGAGGCTCTCCTGGCTGGATCCCCGCGGTCAGACCCCTTGCTCCAGTTCAGTGGCCCTTAGCAGCTGCGCTGGTCCACAGCAGAGGTGGCTGTCGTCACGACACCCTGGGGTCTCCTGAGTATCAGCTTCCTTCATGAGCTCTTGGGCACCATATTAGTTAACTTTCAGTTCACAGCTGGAAAGACTGAGGCTCCGGAGGGCACCCGCCCAGGGTCCCAGAGCTGCCGTCGTGGCTGGCTAGGAGGAGCCCAGGTCTGCCTCGTCCTGTTCAGGGCTCCTCCCCAGCCCCATCACTGCCAACCCCAGAGCGCCGGCGGGAGGGCCCGCCCCGGAGCCATCACGCGGCCTCAGAGCCCTGGGACAGAGGCGGGTGGGGACTGGAGGGCACACTGCCAGTTTTATGCACAGGTGCCCTGTGGAGACCCTTGGCGGCTCCTGGAAGGTTGTTGGGGTGATCCTTCAGGTGTGATCACATGATCACTGCTGAACACACAGACACACGCCTAGCAGGTGACAGGGACAATCTGGCCGCATCACCTTCTCAGCCAGGACACACCAATGCTGTGGCCACTCTCTCCAGAGAAGGCTCTAGAGAAGGCTGCAGCTGCCCAGCTGGCCATGGGGCACCTGAACCCCAGACCTCGGCTTCCTCAGGGGTCAGGGCCCTTGGAGTGGAGCACAGAGGCTGGTGGGGGGCAGGATGGACCCCCGTCCTTTCTGGTGAGCAGCGTGCTCACCACTGCTATCCTGGCCTGCAGAGGGTCACCCAGGGAAGGAGGAGGGAGCAGGGACTGCGAGGGTGGAGTAGGCAGCACGTGGCCAAGGCCACCGTCCCCTCCGGGAGGGAGTAGCAAGGGCCCAGCTGGCTGCTCCCCAGGCGGGGCCGCGCAGGCCCTTCTGCCCGGTCCAACCACGTCCAGGTCTTCCCTCCGCCACCCTGAAGCCCCTTGCTCAGCATCCCCCACTCCCCACCCGACCCATCAGACCCAGCCCTGCCCTGGGAGGAGGGAGCCGATGGCCTGGCTAGTTCTCCCAGGAGGAAGAGGTATGAGGGGCAGCCGCCCCACCACCGCACCAAGGCCAGGTGCAGCATGCCTGAGGGCAGAGCTGGCCTCTGTGCTGGCAGCAGGGCCGCCAGCCCCCACCCTGTGCTGACTGCTGCCGGAGTAGGGGACGATGAGAGACCCCTGCCCTTGGGGAGCTCTGACATCAGAGGGAGAGAGGCAGGCAGGGCTTTCTGAGCAGATGGCCTTGAATCGGAGAAGTTCTGGGGTATGGGGGCCGCTCTCAGCTCAGAATTCCCAGCGGGCTCCTCACTGCCCCAATCTCTGCTGCCCCCACCCCACTCCCAGCTGTCCCACAACTTGGGACCCAGCAGTGGGGGCAGCCCAGCCCCCACCCTGGTGCTGATGCAGGTGGCACATCCTCTGAGGCTGCCCCCTGGCTCCAAAGCCAGAGTCATTCTGCCTAGAAGGACTGCCCAGGTGGGCTCTCTGGGAGGAGGCATGAATAAAACATGCAGAAAAAGGCGGAACAGCAGGGAAGGCAGTCATTTCATACTGTGAGCGTTTGATCTTCGCTCCACATTCATAAGCTGTGTTTCAGTAATTCAGGCTGCTTGCAGAGCTGGCTTTAAATAAAGATCCTGACAGAGTCAGAGAGAGGAAGCCTGCCTGCTCCTTCTGCCACCCTAGGGCCCTGCTCTGCGGACTTGGACCCTGGTCACCAGCAGCGTAGGGGACAGGAGGGAGCAGATGGAGAGTTCACACCTCCCCCCCACCCGCCCCAGCCAGCAGGGCGAGAGCACAGAGGATAAAGGACTCCCGGGAGGGCCTTTAGTGAAAGCGACACTTAGCTGTGACCCTGCCCTCCTGCACCTGTCCCATCAGCCCCACTTTTCACCCATCGTTCAGCCCCACCACCCCCGAAGGCACTTCCCCTGACTATACGTGTACTCTGCTTTTGGGTGCAGAATCTGACCAATGAGGAGCAAGTGGTCGTCATACAAGCCAGGACAGTCCTGACCTTGGCGGAAAAGGTAACAGGGACTGGATGCTCTCAGGGAGGGCTGGGCTCCCTGCAGGTGTCCCTTTGTGGGAGGGGCTGCCGGGTCAGGGTGTCTCCCGATCCTGCCCGCCTTGGGAGGTCTGGCACACGCACAGGGCAGACAGCACCCCACCCACCATACATGTTTGCAAGTGTCAGATTCAGCCAGACCTCTCCCAAGGCCAGCTCTGCCTCGGTTCCCCTCAGAGGCTGGGAGCTGTGGTAGGTCTGTGAAACTTCAGCATTCTCTTTGACCTGCCAGGACCCTCCTCTGGGGGCTGCCCAGCCCACCTGGGCTCCCACCCTCTGCTCCCTGTGCCGCCCGTCTGCTCCTGGTCCCTCCTTGGTAGCCAGAGCCTGCTTGGTAGGCCAGCTGTCAGCGCCTCCTCCCATGGGCCTCCACAGGACGTGGAGGGGGTGTTCCCGCAGAGTTCAGGGGTCGGGACTTTGGGAGCACAGGCCACCCTCACTGCATGGGGCAGAGGTCTCAGTGCATCTGCTCCCGCTGCACCGCACCTAGCGTCCCTCCTCTCCCTGGGGAAGGGCGGGGGGCAGACTCCTTGGACACCAGGCAGGGGTGTGGGGTGGGGCCTGGCCCTGGCCTGCATGCTGGCCCACGGGCCCATGACGCCGGCCCAGACCCACTCCCCGCGAGGGCTGCGCCCTCCCCTCCCAGAGGAAGGGTAGGAAGGACCAGGAGGTCCAGACCTCCCTCAGGCTGTCCCCAGAGCTGGGAGAGGTGAGGTGGCTTCAGTGCCTGCATGGCGACCTGAGGGCACACTGTCACCAGTATTTTCTGTTTGTGTCCAGTGGCTCCAGCAGATCGAAGAGACGGAGTCGGCCCTGCAGCGGAAGATGGTTGACCTGGAGAGCGAGAAGGTTGGTGTGCGTCTGGCCGCGCGGCCCTGTGTCACCAGGTCGGCTATGTGAGGCCCAGACACAGGTCCTCTTGTGTTTCAGGAGCTGTTCAGTAAACAGAAGGGCTACCTGGACGAGGAGCTGGACTACAGAAAACAGTCCTTGGACCACGCTCACAAGGTAGGAGAAATAGGGCTGCCGGAACCCCCGCGGTGGGGGAATGTGGGGTAGAAATGGGAAAAGCTGTTCACACACCCAGGGCTGTGTCCCAGACCTCGCCTGGGAAGAGCCTGTGCCCAGTGTGACCAGTAGGGGTCACGCTCTGCACTTCCCCCTTTGGGGACCCCTCGCTTGGTGAGTTCCGAGGACACCTTGCTGCTCCGTCAGCAGCCCTGGGCCCAGGAATGCAGGCACGTGCACAGAAACCAGCTGGGTGTTTGAAATGAGCTGAGAAGACGGGATTCATTGAAACGCTGCATTTACGAATGAAGCGAACACAGCTGTGTCGATCAGAACGCCGTCCCGCCAGGGGCTCCTGCTTCTGCCCGTCTGCACCGAGCCCAGCAAGTTGCACGAGTCCTTTGTATGCTTGCCCCGTGGGAAACTGCTTCCCCACCTCCAGCCTGGAGGGATGTCGGCCTTGGGGTGAACCCTGAGAGCTGAGAGTACCTAATCTCCATCCCTGGAAGTCAGTCCTCACTGAAGTTCGTTTGAGCCTCAAGCAGCCTTCCTGTTTCAAGGCGGTGACGCCAGATCCAGGATTGCCTTTAAGCCCCCTGCCCCCCAGGTGAGCACGGGAGAGGCTCCCGGCTGGAGGGGTTCCTGCAGGGGCACAGCCCACACTTCTCTCCCAGCAGTGGGTCACATCCGGGAACCCGCGTCACCCAGCTGGACAGCCCTTCCTGGCTATGTGTGTCTCTGCCCCCGACTGTGGAGCGCGACGTGGCGCTGGGTCAGGGGAAGCTGTCCTGTGGCCCAGGCGGGCAGCCTGAGGTCAATGACTGGGTCACCCGGTAAATAGAGTTAATCCCCGCCCCCCAGAGATGTAGGGAGGATAAGCCTGTGTGCACTGTGGGCTTGTGCCATGGCAGCTGGGACCGCCCAGCAGGGAGGTGGCAGCTTGATGTTTGCTGTCCCATCAGGGCCCCGCAAGGCCAGTAGGGGGCTCTGCTGGAGTTTATGGTGGGCTTCCTGGGGCTGGGGTGCTGCCTCTGCCCGGTGGCAGTGCTGGCTGCCTGACACCTGCAGAAACAACCACACAGGAGGTGGCCTCGGAGAGAGAGCTGAGTCAGCTCTGATGGGCCTTCCCGGAAATCTGTGCCCAGATCTATGTTTCCAGTCCTCTCAGGTGCCGGGTGGGGTGCCTGCTCGCAGTGCGCAGGGGCAGCTGCGCAGCTCCGAGCCCCCCATGCCGATGTCCTCTGTGCTCTGCTCCTGCATCCTGGCCTGGAGCAGGGCGGGGACAGCATCACCGCAGGACCCAGGCATTGCTCGGCTGGCAGCCTCAGGAACGGGCATTTACGGTAGGACACCGTGCAGAAAAGATGGGTCCCCGCAGATGAGCTCAGAGAGACGGCTTTATGACACGCACGGACACACGAGCACACACACGCACCTGCACCACAGGACACATCGCCCTACGAGGCAGCGAGGCTCCTGCGCACAGCGCCCTGGGATGCTGTTGGGGGCCCCTGGGTGGTTCTGGGTCCCCTCCCTGTGCAATGATGGTGATGACTGCCCCCCTCCGTGAGAGATGCGTCGGGGGCCCCCTTCCCCCAATTCCGACAGGAAAGCTGCATGTTTGCTGTCCCACCCTGGTTTTCTTCACTCCATATTTAAACCTGCACTTCCTGCTGGACAATTAGCCATTTTTTCTGCCATTCACAAAACCTGGTGCAGGAGCGGGGCACCTACCGGCCTTGGGATGCCCAGGGAGCGGGGGGCAGGCCTGTGGGAACCTGCTGGGCTTCACACAGCCCCTGTCTGTGAGCACAAGCACCACAGCTGGGTTTTGAGGGGGGTCCCTGTGGGGCTGAGGGGCTGCAGGGCCGCTGTGAGCACGGGGACGAGGGTGAAGGCTGGGGGAGGCCGTGCGCACAGAGATGTCCTCCAGGCGGCCTGACGCTCACGCTCACGCAGTAGGGAAGGCCCCGTCACCTCCACGTCCTGCCACCAGGCTTGGGGTGAAGCCACTGTGGTGTTAGCTCCAAGCCCCGCGCTTCGCTGCCTTTGTTTTAAAGCTGCAGCTTATCTTTGCTCTGAGGAGCAGCGGCTGATGTGGCAGGCTCTGACGGCCGGGGCAGTTCATCCTGTGGTTGTCAGGAACGGTAGAACGCAGTGAGGTCCGCAGCCCCCTCCGCCTCTCCCTAAAAGGTCTGCTCCGCCGGAGGGAGTCTCCATAGTCATTTTGCCTGAAGAGGAGGAAGCATTCGTTTCTGAAGAGGTTACATTTTTGATGGGAAGATGGGGAGAATTTGAATTTTTCAAAGATGGTGTCTATGAGAGCTCCTGAGGAACAGCTTTAGACGTACCCCAGGTCAAACGGCTCTGTTCTCGGGGGTGGAAAGTGAGGTCTGTGCTGTGGCTGCTGGGTCACAGCACGGGGGCCGCATTGCTTGCGTGGCTGGGGCCCACGCACTGCGGTGTGAGGACTGCGGGCCGGAGGCCCCACAGTGTCGTAGCCCCACTCCCCCACCCCGCAGGGCCCTGTGCGCGTTGTTCGGCCCAGCTGCCTCCTCAGAGACCCTCAGTTGGCTCGCCCGCGGACCAGCTGACAAGAGCTCCAGCCTCGTGGAAGGGGTGGGGACTGGAGGGCTTCATGGCGGTGAAGCCCTCACTGGCACGGGCACCCCCCGGGCGCCCCGGGCGTGGGCATCCTTAGGGTTATCACCTGGGAGGGTGAGGTGAAGAAGCTGGGAGGCGGGCAGAGGCCAGGCACATGGGGCCTCGAAGGGCAGGTGAGGCCTTATGTGCAGGCAGCAGGGAGAGAGGCAGACAGACAGACAGAGGGAGAGAGATGAGGAGGGAGAAGCAGGGCAGGTGTGTGTCTCAGTCTGGAGGCCGGAAGTCTGGCATCAAGATGCTGGCAGGGTCCGCTCCCTGTGAGGCTCTGGGGGAGGGTCCTCCTGCCTCGTCCAGGTCCTCAGGGCCCAGGTGTCCCTGGGCCTATGGCCACATCCCCCCACCTCTGCCTCTGTTGTCATGTGGTCTCCCCCGTCTTCTTCTAAAGAGGAGAGTCAGTGGATCAGGGCCCTCTAATCCAGTCTGACCCCATCTGCACCGGATGACATCTGCAGAGACCCTGTTTCCAAATAATCCACATTCACAGGCTTCAGGGCTTAGGACTTGAATGCATCTCTGGGGACACAAGTCACCCCCGCACAGGCGGCACTGGGGACCACAGAGCTGGCAGCCTGGCCCCTCTGTGGTTACTGCAGACATGCCCTGTGGGCACCACGCTTCCTCCTTTGCGACTCATAAGCCCAGGCTTTGATGAAGGTTGTGAGCAAAGGAAGCCGCCTTTGTTCTTTCCTCAAAGGACACCCACCCAGCCCGCCACCCGTCTGGCCATTGTCCGCCTCTGGTCTCAAATTCTGCTGAGCGCGACGTCCGCAGTGCTAACCTGAAGCGAGTTCTGTCACTGCGGTGCCACTGCCTGTTAAATATCGCGGGGGAGGGAACGCTGTTGGACCGTTTCACTCTTCAGAATACCATTTAGGCTGCCCAGGAGGAGACAGTCCCCTCTGCGGGCTGCTTGGAGATGTTGGGACCCCGAGGCAGGGTGCCCCAGCCCCCCAGGCAGTCTTTGGAGAGAAGGTGAGGGCTAACGTGTCCCCTCCTGCTCCAGCACATCCTGGAGCTGGAAGCCATGCTGTACGACGCCCTGCAGCAGGAGGCCGGGGCCAAGGTGGCAGAGCTGCTGTCGGAGGAGGAGCGCGAGAAGCTCAGGGTGGCCGTGGAGCAGTGGAAGCGCCAGGTCATGAGTGAGCTGCGTGAGCGCGATGCCCAGATCCTGCGGGAGCGCATGGAGCTGCTGCAGCTGGCGCAGCAGGTACGGGGCCAGGGAGCGCAGGGGCGGGGCCTAGAGGCGTCCTGCGGCCACGCCCTCTGATGGCCACGCCCATGATGGCCACACCTGAGGCCACGCCCCTAATTACCATACAGTCACGTCACACCCTCCAGTGGCTGTGCCTTCCAGTGACCATGCCCACGGTGGGCCCCCCTGCCAGACTGCCTGTCCCTCCATACTGCCCAGGTCGCTGGGTGGCACATCCCTTCTCTTGGGACCCCTGACTGCCGGTCTCTAACATGACTCCTCCCTCAATGGTAAGATGGCCGTGAAAGTGTCACCTGGGGAGCAGCCGCTCATGGGCCAGGGCACAGCCTCTGGCCTTCTCTTGGCCTATGGGCTCTTGGGGACCTCGGGCCAGTCTGGGCCATCCATTTCTAACTTGAGGGTCCTGGCAGACTGGACAGCCTTGGCGTGTAAGACATGCCTCTGCTCCACCGTGTGTGCTGGCATGGCCTGGAAGGAGCCCTTATGGCTGTGTCCCGTGTCCAGATAAACCAGTAAACCCAGGTTTACTGTGAACGTCTGTGGGCTTGTGTCTGATCAGAGGACTGGTCAGCGACTAGGACCCTCGCTGCCAGATCCAGCGTGATTGGTGCGAGGACGGCCACCTGCGGCCCCCTCATTTCCCATCAGACAGGCTGTGATCAGAGCTCAGCCGTTCCCACGGTCCAGGCACAGGCATCCAGGTCCAGCGTGGACACGCCAGTGTGCGTCTGACTGGCTTGTAGACCGAAGTCGGACTAGGGTTTCCCAGCACGACGCGAGCCTTGCCGGGAAGGTCCTCCTGTGACCCGCCTCTTGTCGTGCTGCAGCAGTGCACCTGGGAAGGGTGGTGGCTCGAGTCCTTAGTGATTCCCGGGGCTCCCAGCATCGTGGTTTATGATCTGAGGAGGCGGGAGTGGGGAGGGTATCGTTCCCGCTGCAGGAGCTGTGTCCCGTGCTCTTTTGCTTGGAGAAAAGCTGTGACCCGGGGAAGCCTACGTCCACGGGGGGGAAGGCAAGCTCACCGGCCTCTCTTCTGGGGCCCAGGCTCCCGGACGCCCCCGGGGAGGGCAGCCCAAGGCCCCAGCCCCCTCGTGGTGCCCAGCGTGGCAGCTGCCCTGTGACTGTCCACCGAGTGCACGAGTGAAAATCGTGAAAGCCCTTTTCCCGCTTGGTTTCCCAAATACTCTGATGATTGAAGATTTTCCTTCTTTGAACATTGCAGAGAATTAAAGAATTAGAAGAAAGAATAGAAGCTCAGAAGAGACAGATAAAGGAACTGGAGGAAAAGGTAAAACGCTTGCAGATTTCTGGGCTTTGTCAGGGAGCTGACAGAGACGGAACAGGCAGCTCTCGGTGTCACAGCGCTAGGTCTGAGGCTGGGCCGTTGTTGGACAGAAAGAGGTTTCAGGGTGGTATCTGCTCGGGACCAGGAGTGGGAGCCGGGGGTCTGGGAACATCCCCTCCTGATGACCCAGCCGTGTGGCCCCGAGGGCCATGCGTCCTCCAGCCTGTTTGCCCAGCTGTCGTGCTATGTGAGGACCCGCAACCCCGGCCCCTCAGTGTGACGCTGGCTGTGCTGATGCACGCGATTCCTTCATGTTCCCTGGAACATTGTCTAAAAATCAAGCTACTGAAAGGCTGTATCCTCCTCTTGAGAATGGGGTGTCACCCCGTGTGAGTCTCTCACTTCCTAGTCCGTAATGCAGCGGCTCCCAGGGTTAGGAAGTTGGGGTGCTGGGGTGCAGCTGGTTTGGGGCCATGCAGCTCGGGACCAGAGAGGACTGTCCGGCTCTTCCCCCGACCCCTGGCTCTGTGACTCCCAAATCAAGGTGCGCAGAACATGCACGGTGGGAAGCCTGGCTCTTTCTGCGGCTGTGCTTAGCTCTGGAGCGGTTTTTCCTCCTGTGGTTTAGGGTGTTTCGGTGACGTCTAGCAGTCAGACTGCTTGTTCTCGTCGTGGGGTCCCCCTTGCCTGTGGGGCAGATCTCACAAAGGCCGGCTCCTCGCCGAGCCTCCCTGGCCTACCCCTCTCGGAGATGGCAGGAGGCTGGGGTCTGCACAGGACCCCCATGGGCTGCACATCCCCGGCCCTGCCTGGGAGGAGCCAGCAGAGGGCCACAGCTACAGGGGCTCTGTGCTTGCAGGACCGAGGGGCTGTCCCCACCGCAGCTCCTCCAGCTGGTCCTCCCCTGCCCTGCCCAGCCCACTCCTGGTGACAACACTGGCCCCTTCCCTGGGAACTTCACCACCGTCTGCTGAGCAGTCTTGGCAGTGACTTGCAAATCCAGTGCTGATGCCAGTGACAGGCCCCTGACCGTGCAAAGCAGGGAGGTGCCCGTGAACAAGGCCGTGGCTGCCTGGTGGACGCCAGGCCGTGGGCAGGAGCTGGGAAGGCCGGGGGCTCCAGCCCCGCCACGGTGCCGTCTCCCCCTGAATGAATGTCTGTTTCCTTTTGCATCTTGAAGCAGGAGCATTTGTTTGTATTAAATGCCGGGGTTGTTTTAATTGGGTGTTTACTGTCCGTCTCGCTGGAGGAGCTCTGTTTTTCCAGGCAATTGTGCCACAGCCAGATTTTCTCTTGTGTCTTAATCGGCCGGGCCCCTCCCGACCCCCAGAGGGGGCTCCAGGTGTGCAATCTGTTCAGCGTGTCAGTTGTCCTTGATCGTTTATAATGGGAATGAGACCAAGACGTTGTCAGGGAGTCCTGGTGTTTGCCTGGCGCTTGGCACGTCTTTCTGTGAGACTCTCACCCTCATTATAGCCAGTTAGCACCCTCACCAGCCGCTCTGGCCACGGGTCCAGATGCCGGTCCCCCTCCCACCCACCACCCCACCCAGAGGAGGAAACTGAGCCCGTGAGAGGCGAGGTGACCAGCAGAGGCTCCCTCCCGACTGCTGGGCTCTGGGCGGTGTGAGGTCCCCCGGGCGAGGCCCCTGGGAGCTGGCAGCACTGTCACTCTAGACCCAGGCGTCCTCATGGCGCCCGCGGGCAGCACGACCCTTAGGCCGCTGGGCGCCAGCGCACAGGCTTTGCTCCCCACCCCGGCGGGCACCCCGCGTCGCCCTGTCTGCGATCACACGTTACTTCTTGCCAGAAGCGCTACAAACGCTTTTTCTCTTTCTTTCCTTCTATGTTTCTGCCCTCCCCTTTCCTTTTCAGTTTCTATTTTTGTTCTTATTTTTCTCCTTAGCTTTCATTCTCTGGTCATAGCTCGCCTGGGTGCCCTGACGTGGTGAGTATCTTCTCTGCGTCCTGGGGACCAGCACGGCCCCACATGGGCCCCGCACGGCCCGGGGAGCTGCCGCCTGCGGTTCCGCAAGCAGGAGGCACGTCCGGATGGCAACAGCCAGGGCTGCCAAAGGTCCTCACGAAGCCACTGCAGTGCCTGCCCTGGGGTCGGGGCCCAGAGGGGTCTGCCATCGTCAGAGGGGAAGGGGCGCTGGCCTTCCAGGAGAAGGGAGGAGGGCTCAGGACCCCCTCCCACGGGACCTACGCGGGGAGAGATGTGCTCGCACAGAGCCAGCTCGTTTCTCTGCCCTGGGCACCTCGCAGGAGGCAGAGCTGCCGGTTTCGCGTCTCCCTGTCCTTTCCGTGGTAGCCCGTGCAAGCTCGGGTCGCCCTGAGGTTCAGCAGAGATGCCCGCTTTCCCAGTGAGCTGGGCTCGTTCACGATGTCACAGCTGTGCTAAGCTGTGGCCTCATCCCCGCGGCTCTCAGAGCGAGGCCGCAGGGGAAAGCTCGAGCACCGCGCCCTTCCCAGACGAGATGAGAGGACAGGTGGGGAGTGACCTCACCCTTCCATCTCCAGGGGCCTCCCCGCGGGAGCAGAGCAGTCCTTTCCCTGCGGCCTTGTCCCTCCAGCCTGTCCCTCTGGACCAGGGGCCTCTCTGATGAGTGTCCCATGTCTCTGCTCTTCCAGCCCCCAGAGGAGCCGGACCCCTTTCCTCCAGCTGGACCGGAGAGCAGCGGGCGCCTGGGAGGCAGAACGAGACACTGTGTCTCATCCCTGAAGACCCAAGAGGATCTGGTCTCTGCGGACCCCCTCCCGTCGAGGAAGCGGGAGAAGGGGGGTCTTTGAGCCCCTCTGAGGGGGACTGTCCACTTTAATGAGCCAGGATTAGAGCTCGTTCTCTGACTGGGCTCCTGTGGAGAGGCCTGGTCTGGCTGCCGGACCCTGGGGTCCCTCCTTGGGACACAGCCTCCACCCCCAGCTGCAGGAACACACGCGTCCGCGGCTGAGCACGGGCAGCGAGCCCAGCAGGAGCCCGGCTCTGCCGCCTCCCTCGGTTCCCTTAGCAACCGAAATGTGTGTCTCAGAGGAAGTTTCTCAGAAACAGCGCAGGCACCCTACAAAATGCCAGGACGAATCTGCCACTACCATGGTGACCTCTGTCGCTTCAGGTGGGCTATGGAGAGGCTTCGACTGGCTCACTGGGGCCCTGGGCCCTCACTGACCGAATCCCCTGCAGGCCTCCCTCGTTTACGCTGCCGCCACTTGTGGGAACAGAACCGTGGCTGCCACAGTGCCATCACCCTCGGCCTCCCTTGCCGCCCAAGACACGAAGGCCAGAGACCTGCCCTGAGCCGGCCAAGGAGCAGAGGGACTGACCGAGCCTGGTAGGGGGAGGTGGGACGAGAGAGGGGCAGACAGTGGAAAGGACCTGACCTTGCTGGAGATCGCAGAGGCCAGAGGCCACCTCCGGCAGGGCAGCCCCAGGCACCACGGAGGCCCCGGGGCTGCGGGTGAGCCCAGCGTGGCGGAAGCTGCCCGGTCCAGAGCTCCAGCCTTTGTGCTCGGGGGGCAGTGCCCGGCGAGACGACTGTGCTTCGTGGTTCTGCGCGTGTGAGAAGGGGCCTGAAGCCCAGGTGGCGAGCAGGTGAGGCACGGCCACTGTTCCTGGGACAGGGCAGCTTCCGTCCCGTGCTGTCCGGGGCCCCGCGGGCACTGACACACCTCCCCTCTGGTCCGTGGGATCCCACCTCCTCTGACTCTGTGGTCCAGGTCGGCCCCGTTTGAGACATGGATTTAATTTGCTGGGACACTGGTCCCGCAGCGGGAGCCCGGAGTGTCTATCCAGGTGGGAGGGAGTGGGTGGGGCAGCTCACCTCCCACCACCACCTCTGGACCCAGGTCTGCTCCCTGGGGGAGGTCCGTGCGTGGGCTCCTCACCATCCCTCGGGCTGCCCCTGCGGTAGGTCTTCTCCACCCAAACCCAGGACACCCCGCCAAGGCCAGCCGAGGCCTCCAGAGGTGCCCATGAAGGGGTCACAGGGTGTGCCCCTGAACTACAAGGGCAGCTGGGCAGGGAAGAACTTGTCGAAGGCGTCTGGCCGTTTCTGCCTCCTTGGGCCCCAGCCCCCACATCCCCAGGTCTGCTGGCCTGCCCCCCTGTCCCCCGTCTTGCTGCTCCCAGAAACTCCAAAATAACGCATCCCACTGTGTCTCTCGGACCCTGACTCCCAGCTCCGCGGGCCTCCCTGCCCCCCCAGGTGCATCACCTCTTCTCCCTTACCCCAGGGCCCAGAGGCCTCCCTGGGGCGGCTGGGCGGGGCGGGTCCCACGGCCAGGACGGAGGCCGGGGATCGGGTGCTCTATCGCGAGCTGCTCTTTCTAAGCGGAATTTGCTCGGCGAGGGCGCTCATGTGGGACGCCGTTGGGCTCTGAGGGGTGAGCAATGGTGTTTTCCCAGTCTGTAGGGTGTGAAGTTGGCCACGTCCACAAGGACTGTCTCAGGGGGGCTGCAGGGGGCTCCCAGGGAGATGCGCTGCCGTGGAGAGAAGGGAGCGGAGCGGACGCTAGAGCCTGGGAGGGGGACCACACCACTGCTCACAGGGGCCTCGCGCACACTCCCCTTCCACGTGGCGGGTCTGGGTGCCTGTTCCTTGAGGGGGCTCTTCTTGAGGAATGGCATGTGGTTAACCCAGCGCGGGGCTCAGACACAGCAGAGTCTGCTCCTGTGTTTGCAGGGGTGCGTGAGCACGGCCTTGGGCGAGAAAGAGCTCTACAGGCTGGATCTGGAGGGGGCCAGTCCCCGCCTTGGTCCATCTGTGGGCCCTCCAACCCCAACACGCTCTTCGAGGCCTGGTCCCTGGACTCAGGGGCACCTCCTGGAATCTGCATGGAGGTCCTTGGGCTGCACTGTGTTGTGTTGAGGAAAGTGCGGAACACACCCCGCTGCCTCTCTGATGGGCAAGGATAGTCCACAGGCATGGCCTGGCCTCAAAAGGCACCTGCGGCCGGTGAGGGACAGTGAATGCTGTATGTCACCGTGGCAATGCTGGTATCAAAATGCACTGCCCAGAGTCCCTGAAGGGCCCCCGGGGGTTGGCACTGTCCCTGCAGCCTTCCCCCGATGAGCCAGCTCGTGGCTCCGTGGCCTGCCTGGCGTGTGCGGGGAGCAGCAGCCTGCCCGGGCTTGGCAGGACGCTCCGTGCCCCAGAGCCGCAGGCAAGTCACACCTGTGGAGGGGAGCCAGGGCCAGGTAAGGAGCGGGGAGCAGGAGAGCGGGGCGGGAGGCACAGCCCCTCCACACCGCCTGGGCCACCTGCAGGGCCTGGATGCTAATGGACGCCCCCTTGAACAGAGCCATTTTGTGGGTCTGGAGCCCCAGAGATGACTTGGACCAGCTTCTGCTCCCGGGGTGCTCACACTGGGGAGGCCGGGCTGGGGCCAGCGGGCATCACCATGCGACGGGGACAGACCTGTGCTGCCCGGCCCAGCTCAGGGCTGGCGGGGGCGGCAGCCGGCTCCCAGACCAAGCACCACAGCCTGGGTGCCGAGTCAGACGCTCTCACAGAGCCCACAGAGAAGCACATTTTCCCTCCACCGAGCGCGGCCTCCAGGCATCGGGGAGAGAGCTCTCGAACACTGGCCAAAGTGGGACAGCATTGCGCGAAGCAGTTGGCGCCCGGCTGCCCTCACCCCAGGCAGAAGTAACAGCCCCGACGTTCAGGGAGGGTGGCCCTGCGGCCTCCGCTCCCGCCGGGGAGCTGCGGCCTCACTGGGCGACAGGACGCCTTGCGCTTGTTTGCTCAGTCAGGTGAGGAGAGGCGGAAAGCCACTGCGGGCCGCTTTGTGGGGACGCAGTGCTGGGGGCTGTCGGGCTGCAGCCAGAGGGCGGCTCATGGGAGACGGGCCGCTCTTGCCCCTTTCAGGGGCATGTCCACTGCGCCCCGGCTTGTCAGTCTCCAGGGTGGGTGTGAGGCTGTCAGGAAAGAGCTGCCGTCTAAACCTGGGGTCTTTTGTGTACCCTCCCTCCTCCCAGCCCAGGACCACCGGCCGCATCCCCGTGGAGCACAGGGGCCCCCGCAGCCTGGGCAGCCGCACCTGGGCTGCGGGGCTTCCTCTGCCCCAGAGACGAGGGTGGGAGCGGCTGGTCCCCTCCACGTCTGGTGCGGCACAGGAAGTCACCAGCTTCCTAAGCAAGCACCTCCCCTCTCCCCATGAGCTTTTAAAGAGCTTTTGGTTCTAAAATAGTTTCAGACTTAAAATCGCAGAGACAGTGTGAAGCTCCTGCGCACCTTGCGCCCGGCTTCCCCCGACGTCGTGTCTCGCACAGTCACAGCGCACTTTCATAGCTCCGCTCGTCCACCCGCTCCGCTCAGGCGGGCGTTTCTGCTCCGGGGCCCCGCACGAAGTTGAGTCCTTCTCCTGGTCCCTCTCTGTCGGCCACAGTGTTCTCAGCTTTCCTCGCCACCCTGGCGCTTGGCACCTTGGCAGGTGCTGGCCAGCTGTTTTGTGGGGCGCCCTTCAGTGTGGTTTGGCCGCTGCGCTGGCGCGGTGGTACTGAGGTCGCGCGGTCTCAGGAGGCGCCCGGGGCGGCGCGCCGTCTGAGTGTGTCTGGTGGGCGCAGCCGGGCGTGCACAGGCTTTCTGCCTCTGATGTGGACCTCGATCAGGGTTCTGCCGAGTTCTCCAGGGAAAGGTGCCGCTTGTCGCCAAGCAGTGGACTGGGAAGGGACACTTGAAGACCACGCGATCCCCTGAACCTCCTTAAGCATTTGCCCGACGGCGTCGCCAGGTGTCGGTGGGTCTTCCCTGCGACGGTGGTCACGCCTGCTCGCGCGGTGACTTCCCGCCTCACGTCCCTCCTGTGCTGTTAGGGGCTTTCTCTGGAGAAGGCCTGCCCCCTTCTCTCGTTTCTTTCTCTCTCTCTCCAGCTATTTGTATCAGCGTGGACTCATGGATATCCTAATTTAATCTGTGGGTTATAATCCAACACCATCTGTATTTTCCTGCCCGGATTTTTCCAGCTTAAGCCATCGAGCTTTCCGTGGGGTCGGCTCGCGTCCTCTGAGCCCCGTCTATTCCTCTGGCCCTTCCTTGCCGTCCGTTCCTGCGGGGGGGTGCTCAGCGTCCTGTTTCCCCGCCCCGAGCCTGCGAGCAGCCGCTTCTCCAGGGCTCTCTGGTTCCCTCTGCTGGAGAGTGGTGTCCAGGAACCAGCGTCTCTGGGCGCGGGGTGTGCTCACTGCTGTGGGGTGGATGGTTTCTAGCCCCAGGGGCAGAGCCTGGAAGTGTTCCCCTGGGCGCTAATGCACGCACACCACTCTTCCTGGTGTCTTTCTGTGTCTAATCGTGTCCTCTGCCACCTCTCACCTGTCTGTCTGTCACTTGTCTACATATCACCTATCTGTTGTCTACCTTTGTGCTTATCCGTCATCTGTCATCCATCATCCATCCACCCATCCATCCATCTGTCCATCTGTCTGTTATCTGTGTGTCTATTATGAAAGCATGAGTTCGTAAGGATGCCTCCAGTTCCAGGCTAACAATTCGAGACTCATTCCAGCCTCCCCATTTCCTCGTCTGTGACTCCGTTCACGGGGACGTGGCTCTCGCCATGTAAATGGTGTTATTGTTTGCTCAGTCCTGGTGTCCACACACAGGAGTTTCAGAAGAGCTAGCCCCTACACCCTGGGCAGCCAGCTGCCCAGCTAGGGGACCGTGGAGCGCAGTCCCTTGTCCTCAGCCTGATGGTCTCCGAGTGTAGTTCTCGGGTGACCTGGGTCA